TCGGGCTCTTGTCTCAAGATCCTAGTCCAATTATCCCACCTGAATGTCTGCAATTTGGTTGTTTTCTCTGATAATAAAGCATACCCTGTCGGATCTAATGCCCACAGATGGTAAAGATTAAAAAAAAACTAAGCCTCCAAAGTTAATATTTTGTTATCCGGGTAAATTTGAAGATGTTCTCTCCTGAATACTTACTTCAATTTTATAACTATTAAAAATCTGTGAAGATTCATTCCATCCTAAAGGTAGACTTAAATTGTTAGACATTTACAGCCATATTCGTTTATTATATTATACCAATAAAATACTTGTTCATGGAATTCTCTACATAGTTTCGTATCACACGTGGAACAGTCTCTCTATCCCCTTCCCCTCTCTATATTTCACACTACATAACGAACACCAACAAATACCAAGCCCCCTTTGAAGGTCAATAACTTCCAAAGAAGTCCAAATAAAATAACAACTTTTTTCAATTTTTCTCTACAATTTTGTTTTCTATTTTCTATATTTGTTAACGAATTCATAATTCAATATCTGGCAAACTGCTGGTAAACACCATTGGGAAATTTGTGGATATTCTGGGCCATTTCGATCCTTGGCCATATGCCATACAACAACACGGCGAGTTGTATGGTTTCTCGCCAAACAACATTGAAAGGAAACCAATAAATGTACATGTGTGTGGTCAGTACAACGACACACGTACATGGCTATATATCTACTTGCATGAGTGTGTGTGCCTTTCAAGTGAGTTTAAAAATTATACAACAGACAAACACTACCAGGGCATACCATAACAACAACAACAACGAATGAACAGTAAGGAAAAAACATAATCCTCAACTTGGTGCACTCATGTTGGGGATGCAATGGTTATCCTAGTAGTATTTTCGCGTTCTGTTTTAGCCGTTTCTGCATTTATTTTAAACAATTTTGAAGAGCATTCCTTGGAAAAAAGCTATCTAAATATGTGTATGAAACCACGTTTCATCTCTGGAGGAAAGCTGGGCAGGGCAACAATGGTTGGCTGGCGTATGGTCAGTTTTGGCTAGACACAACTTGGGGAGACCTCTTGCCTTAAAAATAATAATTCAGCCCATAGCCAAGAAAGGTTAGTGCCAACTGACTTATGTTTAATGTCCATACATGTGTGTGTGTGTATGTACTTTGAGTACCACAGAAAATATAAGCAGAGAGGACAATGTGAAACCTATTTTTTTGGTTAGTTTGTCGCTGATGGCCACTACCAGCAACAACTACTACTGCTACCACTACTACCGCCGCTGTTAAAACCACTCACACTTATAGTCTCGGCCATACAAGGATATACAGCCACTACATGTCGTCCTTAAATCTCCTACAGAGTCAAGTGTATGCGACATCAACAAGGAAAACAAGATTTTTCCACTAGAAACTATGGTTGTGGGTATGTGTGTGTATGCGTGTGAGTAGTTAGTGGTTGACCCCTTCACATTTTTGGCTACATTACGCCCTAGTACCCTTGTCCCATTTACAACAACAAAAACCAACAAGTCCACGTAACTTTATGCCACATATATAGTATTTAAATGCTTGTTCGTTTTTTGTTTTGTTACTTAAAGTTCACATCTTTTTGTGTATACATATACATGTGTTTGTGTTTGAGTGTGCAAAAAAAACAATTCGTTTTGGCGATTCATTAGAATTACTCTTTGTATGCGTACATTATGGGCTTTTAACGTTTTCGTTGTGTGTTTTTCCGTTTCGTGTTAGTTTTTTGTTGCTTCTTTTATTATTTTTTTCCGTTTGTATACATGTATATGCGTATGTGTGTGTATTTACGTTTTTCGGCTGGGCTCTTGTGAATTGTTGTATGAGTTGTTGGCAAATATTTTATTTACTTTTTTGTACATACTTAAATATACTAATGTTAAATTGAATATGGTACTTAGAACAAAGCAAGACGAGGGTGGTTTATGCAGGCAGTTTAATTTTTTTTAAATTTTATTTATTGTCACTCATACGGTACAGTGCACGCTCAGTTACAATTACTTATACGCACCGGAAGGTACGTAACTTCATCGTAGTAAATGTTGAATATTTCCAGAACTTTTTTAAATAGTATACCTTATATATATCATACAACAACATATTTGCATATTTGGCCCAAATCAGACATTCCGAAGCTATAGTTCATATAAAAATAATGGATTTTTCCCCAACCTCATATTAGTTAATCCTTACAGGTTCTGGAACGGAACGCTTTTGTTTAGACAGAACGCCGTTGTAAATATCACGGTTCATTTATGTATTTTTAAACTCCTATGCTTATTTTCCAACCGAAATGACTGCAAAAAAAACTAGACAATTATTCAGTGAACACAAGTGCAGGTAATGTGGTATACCTTGAGTCTGTGTGAAAAAAAGCCAGCACAAGATAAAATTTCATTACTACTTGAAACATTTGTCCTCTAAAAGAGCCTACCATGAATCACAAGAATGAAAAACAAAGGCTATGAGATTTTAACAACTTCGCCGTGGCATTTCGTGTTCTTGGTGGTTCTTAATCGAAATTTTCAACCAGACTAACAACTTTAAATAGAATACAAATACTCTCGGCTGACAACATACAACGTAGTTTCATGTTTCAACACAGGACTAATATTACGGCTGTGTTAATGTAGGCAGGACATTCTAAAATGGTTTTACAATTGCAGATATTTAATAATACCTTTATACAGATTATGTAGACCACCCTCGTTCTTAAAAAAAACGAAATTACGCTCAAAATGCGTGTCATGAGTTTGTTAAGTAATTGTCTGAATGCGTGTTGAGTTATTGTATTCTGTTGATGTTATTGTTGTTGCTCTTGTTTTACCTCAAGCGAGCAATGTAAAGTTTATATAGGAGCCATTAACACATTAGCGAGACAGTAGAATATGGCACACAACTGGCACCCAGCGACGACATCAATTCGACAATGAATGGCGACTCACCCAACTGTTGCCCCGTTAAACGAGCCCATTTTAACATACATTCTTGTTGTTGTTTTATATTCTTTTTTTTTGTAGTCATTACTCCACCAGGAAAAATAACGAAAAAAAAGTCAGTAGCCTTTACCAACTCAACCTACCACCACACACACACCCATCTACTCATACATATACAAAATAAACAGTAAAAATTTGCCTTTGTTATGCTTGTGTGTGTGTGTGTGTGTTTTTTGCCTTTTCAAATTTATCGCATAACTTATGGCCGTAGAGAGGTCCTTTCAATGATGCTTTACACTCATGTGTGCGTATGAAAACACAAACTCACATACTTTTTTGTAGCAACATGTACAACGAAAGTATATGTGTGTGATCGTACGTGTATTTGTTTTTCCTACTCCCAAAAGCAAACAACAACCAGTCAGTATGTCAGCCGGCCTTTCTCTAATTAGGATTTTTGTGAATATTACAAACTGCCCTGCCATAAACCTCTTCTCTCGTTTACCCCCTTCCTCCTGCCTCCCACACCAGACATTTCACTTCAATTTGCTGGTTGTTTAATAAAAACAACAACAACAACAAAAGTCAAAGCGTAGGCAAAACAAAGCGACCTTTTAAATAAAACGTAAAAATTTTTAACAAGGGTTAGGTTCAGTCTGTTCCGTGTTCGTTTTTAATTTATTCATTTGTTTAAGGACGCGCACACGCACACCTACACACACTGTTCTGGCATCGAGTGGTTTGGCTTTTGGCCTTTTATCCCACCTAGAAATTCTAGGAAATTCATATAAAAAATACTTGATTTGTTGGTATGCTGCTGCTGCCGATGGAAGAGCGGAGCCGGGTTGACATTCAAGCTAACTAACATCTGTGTGAGTAGCTAACAAAGGTGGGTGACCATTCCAAACTACTTGCTCTCAATATGCAAATATTGTTATTGTTGTTGTTGCTGCTGGGTTCCCCTCTCAACAGAGAAAACATTTTAAAATCCAGTCATCCAGCTGGGGTGGGTGTCTGATCAAAGAACCATAGGCAGCAGCAGCAGGGTGAGAGGTTATGTGTGAATAAGCTGTTGAAAAGTTTCTCTAACAAGAACAGCAACAACAACATCAACTTCATAAGAAACACAAATATGAATCCTAACAAACTTGACCCCTGCCATTAGTTGCCAGTGGCTGAACGGCAACAACAACAACAACAACAGCAAAAAATGCAAAGTTTACAATCGACACGAGTAAAGAAAGTATTCTCCGGCTACGACCTTGAAAATCTGTGAATGGTAAAAGGTGTTCCATAGTGGTAGTAGTAGAGTGTGTGTGGGTGGGTGGGTATTTCTTTGTGTACATGATAAACACTTACCTTATTCAATATATAAAAACTATATTTGTTTGGGTTTTGTGTCGGTCTACAAGCAAAGTTCTTTGGCAAATCAGTTCCATAATCTTTGTCAGTTTGCATGAATTCTGAAAGCTGACTTTGTAAGGAATAACAAACACGTTTTTTTATATGCGAACTAATGAGTCTAAAGATGTTCATATTTGTTCAGGTCATATATGGAACAAATTTATACTGCATAAAGGTTAGGAGGTCAAGGACATAGTTAAGGTGCTAAGTGCCAGAAATAATTGAAATGCGAAACAATTTAAAATTTTTGTTGGTGAAATTCTATTTACATGTATTTTTACCTATAGAAAGTCTTAAAGATAAAGAATTTAGAATACCTTCTATTAGAAGAATACGGTCTTAAAATCACTACCCTATTACCAACTACCCTACCGCAAAGAGACATGGATTGGTCTAAAAATAATTTGTTTGGTTTAAATTATTGACTAACATCCATTATTTCTAAATTTCAAAACACCAATTAACCCACAAATATATTCTCTCTTCCTCTTTACAGGCGTTTACATCCTGACACTGCTCTCGAACATCCCAAAAACCAACCAAGAACATGCAATCCAACGAACGAAGAACACATCAACACAGGCTAAATGCCAAACGCCAACAACACAACATTCCATTCCATTATGGTCAACTACTCATCATGTTCCTTATTGTGAGCCTTCAAGTTACGGATGTTGTGGCTAAGGTCAAGACGAAAAAGAATTCCAATATACATTACAGTAACGAGGATAATTTGAAATCACCCACAGAGGGACAACATTTCGCCATGGAACCCCAAGATCAAACAGCGGTGGTGGGTTCAAGAGTTACCCTGCCGTGTAGGGTAATGGATAAAGTGGGCGCTCTACAATGGACCAAAGATGATTTTGGTTTGGGTCAACATCGTAATCTGAGTGGTTTCGAACGTTACTCCATGGTTGGCAGCGATGAAGAGGGTGATTTCTCTTTGGATATTTTCCCTGTAATGTTGGACGATGATGCCCGTTATCAATGTCAAGTGGGGCCTGGACCAAACGGCGAGGCTGGTATTCGATCACGATTTGCCAAAATCACCATTTTGGTTCCGCCAGAGGCACCAAAAATTCTACAAGGTGATCATTTGGTTACCACGGAAGATCGTGAAATAGAATTGGAATGTGTTTCGGAGGGTGGCAAGCCGGCGGCAGAGGTAAGTTAAACGGACTCTCAAACCATGTCCAATACAGTCCATATTTACATTTAATTTTTTGTTAACAGATCACCTGGATTGATGGTTTGGGTAATGTCCTAACCAAAGGCATTGAAGATGTCAAAGAGCCCTTGCCGGATGCTCGTCGTGTCACAGCCAAGTCCATATTGAAATTGACACCCAAAAAAGAACATCACAATACCACGTTCACGTGTCAAGCTCAAAACACCGCCGATCGCACATATCGTTCAGCAAAAATCCTATTAGAAGTGAAATATGCCCCCAAAGTGACCGTATCCGTTGTGGGTGGTGCTTTGGCCGGTGGTCGCATTCCCGAAGGCGCTGAAGTCATACTCTCCTGCCAGGCCGATGCTAATCCTCCCGTACAATCGTATCGTTGGTTTGTCAATGATGAATTGGTAACAGGTGATTATACCACACGCATGGTTATACACAATGTGTCGCGCCAATATCACGATGCCATTGTCAAATGTGAGGTGGTAAATGCCGTGGGCAAGAGTGAGGAAAGCGAAACATTGGATATCAGTTGTAAGTATTAAAGGAAGGGTTTCGGAAGAGCAACGTGACTTATTTATGTTATCCCTTGTTCTAGATGGTCCAGCTTTTCGTCAACGTCCCAACTCTGTGGAAGCCGATTTGGGCGCCACTGTCACCATGAAATGCGATGTCGATGGTAATCCACCACCAGAAATTGAATGGATAAATGAAAACTCTGAACGTGTTGTGGGCACCTCGGCCAATCTAACCCTAAAAGTGTCCAGTGAAACAGCAGGCCGTTATTATTGTAAGGCCGTGGTGGATGGCTTCCCTGAAATTGGCGCTGAGGCCACAATTTATGTAAAACGTGCTCCCATCATCACATCGCACAAAGTCCAGTTTGGTGCTGTGGGAAATCGTGCCAAAATCGATTGTTTGGCCTTCAGCATACCCAAGGCTGATAAGATTCTGTGGTCCTACGAAGGCAAGATTATCAATATGTCTACAGCTGATCCAGATTTGTATATATTCGAAGAACACCACTTGCCTGAGGGTGTCCGTGCGGCTTTGATCATCAAGGAAAGTCGTTCGAATCACTTTGGCAAATATAATTGTACAGTTGTTAATTCATATGGCAGCGATTCGTTGTTAATTACCTTAATACCCGAACGTAAGTATAGATGATTTTTCTTGAGTTTTACGGAGGATATTCTAACAATTGCCTTATGCTGTTTATCTTACAAAAGCAGCTGGTTCTGTACCCGTCCTTTTGGTGGTCATGGGCTCCATGTCCTCGGTGGCCATTATCCTAATGGTTGTGATGCTAGTGATTGTTTATATGAAACGTAACAAAAAGAAGCCCATGCCAGCTGATGTTATACCCGAGGCCTCTCGTGGAGGTGACAAATTGAGTGATTTAAAGAATGAGATGCGTGCCAAGGCCTATGAGGCGGCTGAATATACCGAATCCAGTTCAGATGGTTTGGCCATTAATCTAACGCATTCACCAATGCCCGACGTACAAATGAAGGGTGCCACATTGGGTGTACCTTTGGCGGGACCGGTAAAATTGGATGAAAGGTAAGGGTTGTTATATTAAGTTTTGGAAAAGTTGAACCTATTTCTAAAGTTGTATCAATTTCTTTAACAGATTTTCCGGTGACTTTGGCGATCGTTACAATCGCAACATGAAAAATATAAAAAATAATCAAGACTACAAAGACACAGCCAATGGCTATCCCTATTTTGAATACGCCTTGGACTATAGCCCTCCCAATGATAACAAAAGTTCAGTGGGTTCTGTGTCCAAGAGTAATTCGACCACCATCAGTTCGGCCACCTTGCCGCATTACTCAAATCCAGCCACCTCTACGGGGAATATGAGTTTGCCCAGAAATCGCAGTGATATGCAACAGCAGCAACAACAACAGCAACTAAATAATGGATTCTTAGGTATGATCCGTGGATCATCGTAATCACAACCAGTATTATATTAACTATGTATTTCATTTTGCAGGTCAACCATTATTACAAAACGGCATTGATAGTCGTTTCAGTGCCATCTATGGTAATCCCTATCTGCGTACCAATTCCTCCATACTCCCACCTCTGCCGCCACCCAGTACAGCTAACCCAGCGGCAACACCAGCACCACCGCCTTATCATGCACCGCGCAATCACATGAACACCATGGCCAATGGTGGTGTAATGGGCAGTCTAAAGAATTTTGGCACACCCAGCAGTATCATCAGTGGTCACAATGGTCCGGCCAGTGTAAGCGGTAGTAGTTCAAATCTGACAGCCAGCAGTAACACGTTGGCCGCCACACCACTGGCAACCCAAGTAGGGTCAGTGGGTACACCATCTGCGGCTGGGGCAGCAGTTAACACAGCAAACGCAACAACAGCACAAAGTCCATCGGGACAATTTATTTTGCCCTCAAATGGTAATGTTACAAAGAAAGGAGCCCTGGCAACCCATGTCTAAATTAAGCGCACAACACAAACAACCAACCAAACGAACGAACGAATTCAAATTGAAACGAATTACCGTTATGACAGGTTAAGTGGAAATCTTAACAAAACATAACGGCAATATTCATCGAGCAAGACAGACAAACGAGAGAGAGAGAAACAAGAGAAGAAGTAAAAACAACAACATATTGTGATTTTTAGTGTTAATTATTTACCTAATGGCAACTCTAAGCGCAAAAACGAAAATTGAAAATATACCAACAGCCAAACAGGGTGTTGCAGTCTCTTCTCACAGACACAGACAAAAAGCCCAGCAGCAACAGCACCACCTACCGGGTGTATATATACAGTAATGTGTTGTTGTTGCTGCTGATGCGGATGGTGAGGCGAATGCAACAGTGGTGCAAATGTCAGAATGAACTGTGTGGTTGTTAGTATTTGCATTTTTATTAGACTCATTATTGTTAGTAAAGCTATGTGCGTGAAGAAGGGGAGGAGTAGGACGGAGCAAGTAGATAAAGAATACGGTGTACAAGAGATACTTGTAGAAAATTTGCTTAAAAAAGGTGGTTACATTACATTTGCATATGTTTTATTTTCAAATAGACAGGGTGTTTCAAAAGATAATGTACTAATGAATTCAGTAGTTTGCTGGTGGCCAATTGTGAAAACCAATTATAAACTGACAACATTTAAATTATTAAAATCAGACTTTTAATGTTATTTTAGAAAAATTGCAAATTATTTCACTTTGAATGCTTAAAACTATTTTGAAAAATGTAATTCAGAACACTCAAAAATCAACTAATAATATAAATATATGTCCATATTAGAAAAGTGTTACCAGTTTTCAGTAGGGGAAAATTAAAAAATAATGAATTGTTGCAGAATAGTATTTTTTCTACAATTTATTTTTTATCATATTTAGAACGTATTTTCGGAGACACCCTGTAGTTTTATACCAATGTAGACTGATTTGAAATCAACCCCAATCCCAACGATCCTTAACCCCAACTGTATTCTAAGATTTGTTAGTTTTTCTAAACATGTAGATATGTCGCCTAGGCACCGTCAACACCGTCTTCAGCGTTCTCGTCCTCCTCTTTATCACTAACATTGCCATCATATATGAATGTTTAAGCATGTTCATGTAATTGTCGAGTATGCATATATTCATAATATACTTAAAGAATGTAAAAGAAACGAAATAGGAAGAAGAAATACTAAGGCCCACTACCTACATACCTACCTACCCACTCACTATATATTCTCTTTAAGCCTAAGTCGCCTGTAGTTAGTTCTTTTTCATGTAAATTATATACATACACAACTATACATAAATTACATATATATACATGTAATTAAATATATATACTAATGATATCCCTACAATTAAGTAAAGCAAACAAACAAAAGAACATAACACGGTGCAACTACAAAAACAAAAAAATACTTTCAAAAAGATCCAGTCCAAAATGCAGGTGTTTAAAAACTGGAATTGGAATGTTGGATTATATCAACATATTCTATTTTATTGGTCTCCAATCAATAGGATTTGTGCTCTAAATTCAATTCCCCGATACTTGAATATTCTCAAATTTGTCGATTATTTCATTTTCAAAGTATTTTCATATTTGTTTTGAGGTGGCACCGTGTTTACTATTAATTAAATAAAATTCCCTAGCAAAACAAACAAACATTAGACAAAAAACCTAAACTAAAAAAAACATAACTTTGTAAGCCAAAATTTCCGATTGGATTTAAATTAAACAAACCGAAAATAATTTATTATTTAATATTAATAAATAACTAGTTATTTAAGTAAGATTTTAATTAAGTAAATGAATATAAGACAAAAGGAAAACAAAAAACCTTTTAAATTAAATTATTTATAAACGCTTAACAAAACCATTCAAGACAAAACAAACAAACCAACCAACCCTAATGTAAAAAAATGATTAGACTCTAATATACGCTTTTAAATGAATAAAGAACATCCTAGTTATATAAATAAAGAAAATCGATTTGAAAATCTATAAAAAAATAACTTGCCCAGAATCTAGACAAAGAAATGAAAGAATAATAAGATCAGAAGACCAAAGAAGGTGTAATGAATCAGCTCAACCAACAAATTTACCTTCCATTAAATTGGTAACATAGCTGAGTCGAATCATTAAACCATCCTTGGTATTCGAACCTATATCGCAACAGTGTGCAAAATGATTATAATCAAATTCTACTTTATTAGCTGAGAGTTTTTTTTTAGAATAAAACAAAATTCAAAATGCAGTTTAAGGGTTTATTCATTCTTTGGATAGACCGATCCCTTTTAGCAAACTTAAAAAAAAATGTACGGAACGAATGAATCAATGCATGAAAGATGATAGTAATACGTTAAATATTGCTGCCTTATTCCTTGTAAAAAAAAACGAAAGAAAAAAACTAATACAACCACACATGGACACTCCTCATACACATATACACTGACACTGACATGTACTCATTTCAATTCAAATCATGCGATTTGTTTTTATTAACTTGTAAGTATGTATTTATTTTTAGGACATATCTAATAAACATATACCAAACTACTACAAACATTGTACCCCAACACACATTTACATACACCCACACCACATACATTTGAAATTCGAAATTTTATCTACTGGATATTTTTTCTAATTCTATGTAATTATTCTTTCCAATATGTAATTTTCTTTTTTTTAAGAATAACAAATGCTATTTGTCATTTTATCTCTTAGATAATTATTTCATTTTTATGTCCAAATTATTAAAAAAAAACAAATGGTGTTAAAAAGATAATGAAGAACAAAAACGACTCATTAAGAAAATAATTGAAAAATAAACAAAAAAATATTTAAAAACATAAACAAATGTGTTTCTATTTCACAAATTTGGTATATTCCAAATCAAAAAAAAAAATACAGGTTTTAAAAAGTGACGCTAATTGTGGCCCTAATGTAGTTTGATTTGATAAAACAGAGTATAAAGAAAATATTGGGATCATAGGCTTGTAGTTATACATTTCATTATAATTGTTGTGCCATGTTTGGACCTCTGTCGCAACTTATGAACACTATTTATTTCGGCTTCATGTTGTTGTCTCCACTTAATCTCTCACAGCATATTCTTGAACCATTGCCAATTATAACCGAATATGGTTGGCAAGGCGGACATTTGTCTGAAACATTATTACAAAACATCTGTTTTTTATTCGGCCATATGTCAAATTTTTCTGAAGTAGTATAAACTATGGTACAATTATTCAAGGTAGGCCATAGCAACTTATAAATTACCATTTTTTCATACTGTGGCTTGTTATGCTAACGTCATATACCAAATGTGCGACTCATGGCATAATTACACAAGGTAGTCTCATGTAGACATATGATTCCAAATGTTTTCATAATTTTACTTTTGACAACATTCAGCTTTCAACATTTAAATGAAATTATCCTCCTTCAAAATGTACGCAAAACACGTGTTCAGTGGCAATAATTATAAAACGTTTATCATTTTGAAGTTTCCTACCTCTATAATCTATAAATATATTTTGTAACATATATAGTTATATCATAAGAGCAATATAAATAAAAAGGGAGATATTTATTTAGAGAAAGTATAGGGTAAGTGCATCAATAGTCGGCACTTTAAGGATTTTAGCATTTTAAACGTTTCACTATCCCGAGAACATTTTTTGCACTATATTGTATTTAGGTTCATATGTTTCGAAATTTTGTTTACTCCCCTATGCGATAAAAATTTGTTTAATTAATTTGTATTAAAGTAAATTAAATTGACAATTAGGTAAAAAACGACCTTTCGGACGATTCCATCAGTGTTGTATTGAAAAAGTAATATAAAATAATTTTATTTATTAAAATATTACAATTGTAAAACATGGTGCCGACATTGGGAACCTGTTGTCCAATTCTCGGCATGGCTAAATAAGTCATTTCAGAGGTTAAAAGAATTTAAGATTAAAACCATGTCTTTAAGTATGTAAAACAACTCAAAAGTGATTTTTTATAAATTTATTGTTATTTAGAGCACTTATTTAACATTTTTTTCCAATTTTGAGTCAAAATGCTCGAAAAAGTGCTTATTATTCACCCATATGCCGACTATAGGAACACCTTAAACATTTGGTTCCTAAGGGCGGCACCGATAAAAATATCATTATTACAAATATTTTTGAATGATTTTAAATTCTAAAGTATTCTTCCCTATGTTCTTACAATTACGAAAAAGATTCTTGTGAAAAATGTATAATTTTAATATTGTTACAAGTGTTTTGAAATCGACATGCCCACTATTATTTTTCTTAAGAAACATGAATCACTGGTGTTGGCAAACCTCATTATCAAAATGCCAAATTTTGACTGAATAAATGTACTTAGCTCGATTACATTTTATACAGCGATAAGATTATACAAGGTATTTTTCATATTTAGTTATAGTATTTTTTAATTTTTTGAAATTATATAAAACAAATACCGACTATTGGTACATGCCGGAATTAGGTGCGTTTACCCTATATGTTTATTTTTTTTTCAAAAATATGCCATTCGATATGCATACAATTTTATGGAATTTATTTTTCAAACAATTTGAAATTGATAGATGAGTTCCAAATTAAAAAGGGTTACCATTATTAATTCTTCAAATTAGACTAGCTTCTGTAATTATGTCTTGTGTGTGACTGTGTGTGCAATGTTTTGAAAAATATAAGAAAATATATTCGAAAATCGATTTGTTTGGAGATAAATTTTACAACATTTGTAAGAAGAAATATATGATTTGTGAGCGAATCAATATGTAAATCATACCCCCAACTCGAGTTTGAAAAGAAAACCGGACATTCCATTCATTCGCGTTTTTGGTAAAATGTACAAATGGTGCATTTGTTTTCATTTATTCTGACGTTATTGCCAATAAGGTAGAGTTGTATTTTCTCCTTTCTGATAAAAACTACACTACCTTGTATAATTGTACCATGATATATTCCATTCTACTACTTTTTTATTTAGTATAATAGGGATGGTTATCTTTCCACCAAAATGATACCCTTTATCTAGTCGACCTTTAAATCCCTAATATTATCAGCTGATTTTCGCATTTCCCATGTCTCTTCCTAAACATTGTCGGCGTTATACATCACATTCATTCGTAAACACATTTGCAAAGTAGCCATGTTTCTTTTGTGCTCGTTCTTTAACTAGCATTCTCTTTTGTCTCCTCCATTCACTGTAGCATTTGAAACGTTGTTTTTATTTCGCCGGCCGCGCCGCATTTTTATAATTTTTTAGTTTCTATAAAAAAAGTTAACAAAAGACATATTGGACAGAAAATCTTTATTAAAATTAGTACTTAATCTCAAATAACCTATCGATTAGACCATGGACAACAAATTAACACGTTACGAGAAAATTGCTTTCCTGGGAGAAGGTCAGGTAAGTAGCCACAAGCACCAGCTCTCAATAACCAAAAACTAAAGATTTTCCCATTAATTTCCTTTGCAGTTTGCCACAGTTTATAAGGCTCGTGATGTCCTAACAGAACAAATTGTCGCCGTGAAAAAGATCAAAATTGGCAGCCGCGAAGAAGCACAGGATGGCATTAATCGTACAGCCTTAAGAGAAATCAAGTTGTTGCACGAATTGCAGCATGAGAACTGTATTGGACTATTGGATGTTTTTGGTCACAAATCGAATGTGTCATTGGTATTTGATTTTATGGACACCGATCTGGAAATCATCATCAAAGATCCTAAAATCATTCTAACACAAGGTGACATAAAGGCGTATATGGTCATGACACTGAAGGGTTTGGAATACTTGCACATGAATTGGATTCTACATCGAGATTTGAAACCAAACAATTTATTAGTCAACTCAGAGGGGATATTGAAAATTGGTGATTTTGGTTTGGCGAAATTTTTCGGTTCACCATCACGCATTTACACCCATCAGGTAGTGACCCGTTGGTATCGTGCCCCCGAGTTATTGTTCGGTGCACGTCAATATGGCACTGGCATAGACATCTGGGCGGTTGGCTGTATTTTAGCGGAATTATTGTTACGCGTACCCTTTCTTGCTGGCGACTCGGATCTAAATCAATTAACGAAAATATTCCAAGCATTGGGCACGCCCACCGAAGAGACATGGCCAAATATAACCAAATTGCCAGATTATATGCAATTTGTGCATTTTCCTGGTGCACCGCTGTCCGAATATTTTACAGCTGCTCCTGATGATCTTATACATTTGGCTGAAAAATTATTAGCTTTGGATCCACAGAAACGTTGTAATTGTACTGAGGCACTGGAAATGCCATACTTCAGAAATAAACCAGCACCGACATTGGGTCACAAGTTGCCTTTACCCAGTTCCAATAAACAAAACGCCGATGAAAAGCCAAGTTTGAAACGAAAAATTATGGATGCTATGGAAGGTGTTGGTAATCCTAAAAAACTTATATTCTAATTGTATTAAATATAGAAGTCGAATTAATGTTGATATTGTTTATTGATCCTATTCTCACAGTTAACTCATTTCTTTAAGAATGTTATTATCATTCCTTCAACGAATTAAAATAATAGTTTCGTTTTTAAAAATTATGTTTTTTTTTTTAAATAAATAAAAATAATCATTATCTTAATATATATAAGAGCTTAGTGTTAAGTGAATGAGTGACAGAAATGGCTAAAGCTAGAAACTTGAAATTTTGAGTGTGGTTGTTGTTAGTCCAAATATGGTACCCTTTGTATTAGGCGTAATTATGGAATGTATGGAATGTTAGAAAGATGTGCAAATATAGAAACAAAAAATAATAAATTTGGTACCAGTTTACAAATTGCTTTTGTGTAAACGGATAGGGCTGAGATTCTGAAATAATGAATTAATATTACAGTTGGAGTGCAGGATTGAGATATATCGGTAGTTTTGAAAATTCGTCATTATGTATACTAAATGGTACAAATTTTCAGATTTTTGTTAACGTATAGAGATGGAAGACTTACAGAATTAAGGTAGTATTTTCGCTAGCACTAAATGGTACTAAATATGGTACAATTCATTTTGTGTGAGCGGAGTTAAAATTAAGGTTGGAGTGTAGGATGAAACATGGAGGTAGTTTTAAAAATGCGTAATTATGTGCACTAAATGGTACTAAGTTTAGTACAATTTAGATTTGAATGAAATGATAGAGATGGACAATTTATATTTGAAAATAAAATTACTGTTATAGCACATGATTGAGATAGTGCTGGAAATTCATAAGTACGAAAAGTACTAAATGGTATTAAATATGGTACAATTTGGATCTATGTGAACGGATAGGGCTGGAATCCTGAAATTAATGATTAAAATTACTGTTGCAGTGTGGAATTGAGGACGGCTTAGAAACTCGTGCTTACATCTACGAAAAGTAATAAATGGTACTAAATTTGGTGCAATTTGAATGTGGGTGAACGAATAGAGCTGGAATCTTTAAATGTGGACTTAAGATTATTATTGGAGTGCATGACTGAATTAGTTTATATTTATCCTCCTTCATATGACATCAATTTTATTACAATATCTCCAGTAGTTCCAATGTTTTGAGACAAAAACCAAGCACGCATTTTAGTTATGAAATTTAATGATTTGAAAGCGTTGATCATTCGTTTGACGATTCATCGTTATATTATAGACCAAACTGAAGATGTAAGGCAGAAAAACAAAACACAAAATGTGTGTAAACTGTTGAAAATAGTGTTGGCAAAAAGATAATAGCTAAAAAATATTTATAGGCGTAATAAATATATAATATCATTGTGTAATAAAACTGCAGAATTCCCTCTAACCATTGCTGCAAAATTCATTAAAATCGGTTAAGTATTTCCGGAGTTATTTGAATTTCAATTCTACCATGCTCAGAAATATACTTTCTGTTCGATGCTGGGCACCTATTACCAAAAAAGGAAAAACACCACAAAAATCGATCTTGCAAAAATTGAATTTTTTTTCTGCATACAGCTACATTGTGTGTATGTGTAAGTAAAATATTTTACACTGCATATGTGCATAAATAACATACAATCACACCAACATATCAAGCAACATGAAATTGCACCCGAACTGTCTTCTGCCCCTACAAGTATGCTATAATTTTCATACAACAGCAGACATTATGAAAACAATTTTTGCCATTTTTAAAAGACCGATTTTTGTGTGGTTTTTCATTTTCAGGTAATAGGCGACCAGAATCGAGCAGGAGGTGTATTTCGGACCATCGTTGAATTGAAATACAAATATCTCGGCAACTACTAAACCGATTTTTATAAAGTTTCCAGATATGGTAAGAGGAAATTCAGAAGTTTTATTACACACTGCCAGTCCATATTTTTACAATTATAAATTTGATGGTAGGATCACTGTTGGAATGTAGGATTGGACTTTGTAGGAATGTGAATGTGTAATGTGTACTAAATATTGTACCATTTAAATTTTGGGTGAACCAATCCTGAAATTTGGAGTTAGGGGTACAGTTGGGGTGTAGGATTGGTCTATGTAGGAAGTTTTGGAATTTTGTACTAATGTGTTCAAAACAGTACCAAATGTGGATTTTAGTGAACCGATAGAGCTAGAATCTTGAAATTTGAAGTTAGGATACTTTTGGGGGCATTGATACACTACTTACATTGCATTAATATATTCTGGATATCGGTCATTTCCATATTTGTCTGATTCATTTTAATAAAACACATATTGCCAGATTTATTTTGATATATTATTTTATTACTGTTTTGTTGTTGTTATCGTAGTTTATAATTCAACTTAAAACTTAAATCACATATTTTTTTCACGTATAACGTAGACTTTAATACAGAATCATAATAATAGTAAAAACAAAAATAAATAAACACCAAACAAAAAATTAATAAGCATTCCATGTCCGTACACTGACCTAACCTAAATCTATAACTGAGATTGAATTCCTCAATATTCAAATATAAAAAAGTTCTACATTACTATACGTACATAAATAAATTGTAAGAAATAAAAAAATCAAAGTAGCAATTATTAGCCCCAAATAGTAAACAATATTAATAAAATAAAGGTAATAATGATGAATAAATAAAAGACCTATAACAAAATTCAAGTAAAATCTATATATGTAGATGTATGTATGTATAAAAAACACAGCAAATACCCCTAAGTGCGTTATACTATATTGACGGTTTTATGTAGTATTTTTTTTAAGGAAAATCATAATACCATGCTACAGAATATTAGAAAAACGGATTTAAATTAAATCGATTTCATATTGGCAATTGGATTCGAAATGTTATATTTAATTAAAAGAAGAGAAGCAGATTAATGATAGTAATGATTAAATTTACCCAAAATATGGATATATAATTGTATATGTAAAAGTCAGGTTATGTCTTCAATATGTTATTGAAGATGTTAGTTATTTTCCGTAAAGAAATTATATTTGGAGTTTAATTTAGTAATGGAATTTTTTTAATTAAAATAATAACCTGATTCGAGTATAACAATTTATTTGAAAACTGATGACTTAATTCCATTGATAACTGAAGTCTCAGCATTTTCTTACCATTTTCTATCTGTAGCACAGTGCAATGATATTAGCACAACAGAAGTGACAGTTTTAAATAATATTTAATATCCTGAATTTATAGTCCTGCTAATAACCAACTAAATAACATGCTATATATGTTTGTATGTAATTTAAGTGATAATAGTTGTCTTCTATTGAATATTAAATATTTCTTTTTTTGTATATAAATATTATGTTTGTAAGTATGTATGTGTAAAACAACCAAAAGTCATTTTTGTTGTGTGGTTTAACATTGACTTAGAACTGATTTTGAGATTATTTTGTTTTATGTTTCAATAGCCAACAACGTTTTAATTTTTTTCTTTGAAATTATATAAATATATAGAAGAGGTTTTGTGTTTTTTTTCTTTTTTGGTAATGTTTGTCACAATATACAAATGGAGGCATGTCGGTCGGTATGTATGAATGGTACGTACTTAGTATGAATACGAGTAGTTTCTTTTGTTTTCTTTATATCGTATATATCTTAAAATTAATGTTTAGAAATAGTTGTAGTCGTAGTAGCAGATCATCTCTGGTATTTTGTTTTCCTTTTTTTGTTTTGTTTAAAGCTAATGTGTGTTTTGTTTTGATTTTCGAAAATGTGTTCAATTCGTGTATATATCAAAAAAAGTTGATATATATTTACATAGTTATATTATTGTTATCTTAAATTAGTAGTATAAATTAAATTTAAAAAATGTTTTTGTAGTAAGTCTAAATAGTTGTTTGTTGTTTCCAATATTCCTATGTTGGTTTGTTTTCACAATGAAAAATAATTGAAGATTTGGTTTAACTTGTTGTTGTCAGCTTGGGCATTTGTGATATCCTTTCATTTGAGTTTATTTCGGTTTTAGAGATTTATCGTATCTAAATCTTGGCAAGGAGCACGTGGACTTATTCCATCATTGCTATGGTCTTGATTGGTTAAGGCATCATTTAATGCTGTAGCCCCCGTTGGATCTACTATATCTACATCTGCAGCATTTTTGTTATTATCACGCACACTGTTATTGTTATTAGTCTTGGCATCTTGGTGGGCAGTACCGGAATTTTGCACTTTTTTACTACCCAAACCCAATGGGAAAGCAAATTCTTGGGGTAATTTGCGCATAATTTTACCCGAAGTAATAAGACGGCCAAAGCCCTCCTGAAAATATTAAAAACACATTTCATATTTAATGGAAATTTGGAATGAGAATTTAGAGCGAAAGCAAATATTACCTGGTGCGCAAAAGCATAACCCGAACGCAACGATCGTCTTGATCGTCGCGATGATGGTGCTCTTGTAACACTGCTGGTGTGTCGTGATTTAAGGCTAGCTTGGCGTCTCTTCATGCGTATCTGGAAAAAATAAAATTTGTATTTTATTATCATGGAAAAGAGAAGATGTAAATGAAACTAGTAAAAATGGCGGCCGCGACTATGTTTTTGACCATACACCATTGAGATACTGGTATATATTTGCAATAAAGTTCCCAACGTTAATAGAAATTTATCACTCAGCCGCGCTATTTGATGTAATGAATATCAAGTCGGATCATTATATAGGGTACATATCAACAAATTAAAACTATACCGAATTTTTTCTAAAAATATTTTGTAAATCCCAACATACCACAAATTTAGATCCTAAAGAATTTTAAGTAGCTATTTCAAATATTGATTGAAAACTTCATATTATGGTGAAATACCGTTATAAAGGGGGACAGCCCCGAAAAATATACAGACGTTCTTTCAAGACCCCATGAATCAAAATACCTTATATCGAAATATAAATTTTAGCTTATTGAGCGCCCTGTAATATATGTAGAAAACCTATAGACAATACTTACCATATCCGCTAAGCTTGGCTGTACGTCTATTAAATAGAATTTGTACGCTAATACTGGTATCATTATCAGCACCACTGTTATAAACATTGTTGCCCAAAATGTTAAATCACCCATGGCCATGGTAAGTGAACCCACATAGGGTCCACCAATCACATAATTGTAAAAGTAATCGAGTACAAAGTACCAAATTAAACTACCCCATATTGTTATATGGTTGGCAATTGTCCAGTACGATGTATATAAGGCTATCTGTAATGTAGTGGAATTATATTAACATCAAATATCAAATGAGAGAGTATTATAGCGGATATACCTGTGCTGTATTATCAATAATTAAAATAGTGGCTACAACCGCTCCCAGAGTCATGTGATCACTTAAAATTAAACCATTTGGCGAGACGCCTTTGTGATAAGTACCTGGAAAGTAAGCAAGTAAAAAAAGTTTAGTAAATGTTCATATAAAAAGGAAATAAAAGGAAATAAATAAATAAATCTGGGAAAAGTTTTCAGAACAAATGCAGTCGTTTTTGAAAAAGGTTTAAAGAACTCAATAAATCTGTCTGTATTTCTATTTTGAAAATTTCCCTTTAAACATATTTGTCTAACTATTTGGAAAAAATACATCTTCACTTACCATAGGGTATTAAAAATAATATTAAAGAACTAAAGGCACCATGTAAAACACTATACACAAATTCTTTGGTATTAAACAATTGACTTCTTAAGCCTGGTGTATATAATTTTGGATATTCCAAACTGTGTCTGTCAGACACGTCCTGTTCGAATACACCCAATGCTAATACCGGCAGTGACGTATAAAATAGATTATACACCGATATAAACATGGGATCGAAAACAGTCTGAAAATATGGAAAGAAATATTTAAATAAATAAAAAAATAATTAAAAATTATTGGCACTAACCTGCGCACTGAAACCACAAAAAAATGAATACCAACAATGGCAAAGGGTAAATGCAAAATTTTTATAAAAGAAATATCGCAAGAATTTGCACATGCGATAATATGACCAACGCCCATGCACCAATAGAAGCCGTTGTAGGTAACGAAATTGGGCAATCGAGTAGTCGCTGGCTAATACAGCCTGTAAGCCCTCTTGGCCAGATATACCAACACCAATATGGGCGGCTGAAATGAAAAAAATATTTGCAAAATATTATGAACTTATACAAAAAATAAAGAATATAAGAAACAGAAGGAGTAATAAAACATAAAATTAATTAAAATTACTATTGTAGAAGGTTTACTCGATGCACAAAGAAATTAAAAACACAAATAGTGTAAAAACGATTACTTCGACTTTATTTTATAAACCTACTACAAAAGGAGAAAATAGGAATCTATAATTGAAATATTTACCTTTGATCATTGAAACATCATTGGCACCATCTCCTATTGCTAAGGTAACTGCATTCTTGGCACGTTTTATTAATTCTACAACCAAAGCTTTTTGTAAAGGTGTGACACGACAGCAAATTACTGCTTTGCACTGAGAGGCAATATCAAGGAATCTGCATATAAAAAATAAACAATCAGGACCAATATATAAAAATATTCAATTCAAAAAGTTTTACCTTGATTCCAATTCTGGTGATAGACAATGGACCAGCGAGTGGCCATTTATAACAATAGCAAAGCCGGTGTTTTCCTCTACAATTTCATCTTCCCTTAAGGCATTTCTTGCTGCACTGCCACCTTTTTCCAGTGTGTCATACAATTCATTTGTTTCAGCACTACAGAAATAAAGACATATTATTAAATTATATGACAAAAAAGAGTTACAACTTGTAATAACAACGCACAAAAAATTGGTTATTTTCCAACAAGAAAAAATGTGTTACCAAAGCATTTAATGGACATAACGATAGGATAGGATAGAATGGAGATTTTATATAGGCCACATAATAAATATATTGAATTAGCAAAACATTTTAAACATTAGTTATGGAATTTAAAAAGTTTTACTATAAAAATGCCAATGAAAAATAAATAATTTGTATTAACAACAACAATGAGCGAACAATGATGCATGGAAAATTAGCTGTTTAATTTTAGAATGTGCTACATAAAATTATAATATTAACGACAACAACAATAGCAACAACACAAACTTATATATTTAATTATTGTATAAATATTACGTTACGGGCGAAACAAGGTACCAATAGAGGGGGGAAATCATCCTTTGTATGTAAACTGACATTGGTTTTCAAAAAAGAATCTCAACATAAAAATCATAATATTTTAAATGTTATAATGGAAACAATCTATTATAATAAGTCTAGTAAAAAAATATAAATAAAACTGAAAAAAATATAATTGAAAAAAGGAAATTATATTTAATTCTTAAAACCAAATATTTTCTCAGATTGGTGAATGGCATAAAAACCCTAATTCAATATACATACAAACAAATTGTATACATTTCATGTTAAATATCTGTGTCGAACTCAAATTCTGTATTCGTATATAGAACTGCATTAAAAATAAAGGGTATTAGAATAAATGTATTTCAACGAATTATGAAATGTTTCAAATACGGACAACATATCAGAGTAGGTGTAGTGAAGTGTATCAGTCTAGGACCATTATTTCAATTTATTGATTTACTTTAGGTCATTTTAATTGGCTCAGTTCTTCATTAGGTCTTATTGAATTGGGAATATTAATGGATATATTAGAATTCCGTATATTCATTAATATTCCCCATTAAATACGACCTGATGAAGAACTGATCTAACTGAAATTGTCGAATGTAAATCAAGAATGTATAGTAAATAATTCTCTTAATAGAATATTTCGAAAAATTGGAATTTTTGCCAATATAAAAATATTTTGTTGTACATATTGAAACTATAAACCTAGTGTTCAACAATGCGTTGGGATTGTTGGTTTAAATTCTGCTATGTTCTCAATATATCCAAACATTATAGGAAATTCCAGCCATTTAAAGTGTTTCAAAATAAATCCTTTTATCTCAAGTTCCACATATATATAAAAATAAACAATTTGTTAGATACTTTACAAAATGTCAAAATTTCAACATTATAAACAAAAAGGTGTATTTTAAATCCATATAAAATCTACTTGTAAGGAGGTGTCTCAAAATAAAAATAAAAAGGAACTGAAAAAATTAAAAACAAATCAAAACTGTCCCAAGAAATTAAAATAAAAGTTTCGGAAAAAAAATCAAAAGTGTAAACTAAAAAGAATATTATTAGGTAACTATTTGGATTGAATTGAATTTCTTTTGGTAAAAAAGAAACGAAAGGAAGAAAAAGTTGATGATATGTTTTCCCTCTACCTGTCCGGTTCGCCCTTATTACGCTTATTAATGTCTTCATCATCCCACCTAAAGGTGACCACTGATATTGCTGGCGGCGGTGGTGGTGATATCTGGGACATTTTCACAGCTGCTGCACTGTTACGATCATGTGGATCGTGTGAACCATTTAGATTGATGGTTGAATTGAAAGCTGCAATGTATAAGAGAAGGGCACAATTAAAAATAAGTTTAATAAAAAATAAATATGTAAATACAGAGCTATGGAGTCTAGTTTAATTTTAAATTGCAAAAATGGGGATATCTATAAACATTATAATCTCCATTGCCCTGAAGCTAAATAATCGATCTTAAAAATGTATTTTTTGAAATCGACTAATAGCCGAACTGATTTAAACTTACGTGGCGGCCTAAAGCGATTCACTATTCTTATAGATTCTTTAAACTGCCTAAGTTGCTTCTCTACCTCTTCCAGTGTACTGCCATCAACAATAAAAACATCTGCTAAATCATCGGTAAGTAATTGACATGAATAACCAATGTTAATTGCCGTTTCTGAAAAAAAAATATTTTTTAAATAAAATGAAGTTATTGAGGATCGACATGTGTTAAAGTGGAGTTTGAAAATTTGCACACCAATTGATTTGAAAATGGAATATATTGGTCCAAGTTTTGGTTTAGTCCCATATAAATACACCGACCCATTTTCAGTATTTTGTAGGTTTTATAGCATTTTAGAACCGTAGTGTTTGCAAATGCATTTCGACTTGGAATACAGGATCATGATTTGTCTTAGCGCCATATACAGGTCTCATCAAATTTGATGTGTTTTCTAAGGGAAGTTGCTCTAATTTGGCATTGTGGGTAGAAAACATTTTCACAGAAAATTTTCAATATTGGTACATTGTTATTTTGTATGTATTTTGAATTTTTTTGGCCCCATTTTCCAACCAAGTGACTGTAATTTGGATTTCCGTATTCAAATTTGCAGAAAATATTTAATATAGGTCTATGTCTATACATTTGCGGATCTAAATTATAAGTGTCTTTCTTGGGTGGAAACTGAATTCAGTCCACATCTAGACAGATTCAGTGTATGACGATGGGTACAAATTTCTCAAGGTCTAACAAATATTTTGGCCAAATCCAATCCGCGATGAAATTCTCGTAGCAAAATTTGTTTTGATCCTCCCTTACCTTGTTTATCGCCTGTCAACACCCAAATTTTAATACCAGCCATTTGTAAATTGGCTATCGTTTCAGGTACACCATCCTGTAGTTTGTCCTCAATGGCGGTAACACCGACCAGCACCAATTCACTTTCGACCTCTTCATAAACTGCATTCAGCTTATCTTCACGGTTGTCCAATGAGAGGGATGCCTCCAAGTGGCGTTTACTCCAGCCTTCATAAAATTCGCTTGTTAATCGTCGTTCAGCCAAGACAAGCGTACGTAAACCTTCGCCAGCGAATTTCTATAACAATATAAAAAACGAAATTATTACTTCCAGAATCTCATTTTTTCGAACCAACCGCACACTTACATTTAAATGATCTTGGGTACGCGCTTTCATTTCATGTTGGCTAGAACTCAGTCTATCATATATAACACTATCAGCACCTTTGCAATATAGGAAAATTCGATCGCCTTGCCGTAATATGACCGACATACGTTTGCGAACATTGTTGAAATCCAAAATATGCAGTAACTCATATTCCTGTGTAAAATCGAACAAAATTGTGAAACAGAAATACAATATTATTTTCTAATTGTTTCGAACATACCTCCTTTCGTCCCATAACCTCTATGGTAATGCTATTCGGTGTTCTAGAACGAAAAACAAAACCAAAATTTCTGGCAGCTGACACCAAGGCTGATTCGTCGGGACTTTGAGCTTGATATTCTAAACGTCCATCAACAGTTTCCGGCATAACGGTATGGCACAAAGCCAATAAGCGAAAGAAATTGTGGGCATGTTCCTCATCAGAACGCACAGCATCCAGCAACGTTCGATCGTACCAACGAAATTCTGGTTCATATTCTGGATTTGCAGAGAAATCGACTGGTGCCATGGCCTATATTTTCATGTATTTGTTGAAATGGAAGAAAGAAGAGTTATAAGCAAAATTTGGTAGGAGGTATTAATTCATTGGGAATTTAGTCTGGCACATTTGTATTAGCATGTTTATATTAATAAATAGCTACAATGTATTTACGAGTATGCTTGTGTATTTATGTTTACAGCAACGTTTTTTTTTAAATATATGTTTTAGCAAATATACCAGCAACTCATATGTACATATTTCATGAGCAATCATGCATTTACCCATTAACCAATAAATTGTTATTATGTAAGTTTCTAGAAGTAGTCAAGGCTGTGGAGTAAGATTTGCTACCCAATTCCAATTTTTTTCTACATTGAAGGTTTCTGGTTTTTTTTTTCAATTTGCAATATATACTCCAAAGCCCTTTTTTTAAGCTGAAATATTAAAAAAATACTTAAAAACAATATTTAGTTTTTTTTATTATATAAATAAATATGCATAAGCAGTACTAAGCAGCATGAAAAACAAAACCAAAAAAAAACTGAACTTATTTTCCATCGATGGTCCACTAATAGATGCTCTCGATTCTCTCTGACCAAGAATACATTTCATATTTTATATGTCGCCATATTTACGGAGTACTGAAAAAATATTGTTCACTCCACATAACTCGTGAGCAAATATATCTAATGACCCTTTATAATAGTTTCCATATAAATAAGTTCCCTGATCACCAGCTAGTGAAAAATTAAAACGCAATAGTTTTTAAGTGAAAGTAGTCCTAAGGGATTAAAATATAATGCAAGGATACAATTGTAGCCAATAGACTATGTTAGGCCCCGGAAAAGAAAAGCATTATATATACTAAACGGTTAAAAGAAAGGAAAACTATTGAAAATAAAATTTAGGCCCAAAAATAAAAGCCTTGCGAACCCCTGAACCCCTAAAAATTAGACGTGTCTTTATGTGGCGCTACTCTATAAAGTATATCAATATCGAAATTTTTTACAAGGACATAAAATCCAATCCATTTGAAATAAAAACAAATATTTGAACTTCAAGGAATTTCGTTTGAAATTTATAACATTTCATTTGAAATACATAACATTTTTTTTGTTATTCATAATATTTAATTTTAAATTCGAAAAATATTATTGGTAACACACATACAATTTGTAAGAATTTGAAATGAATTGTTGCGAATTACAAGTGAAATGTTATGAATTTCAAGTTTAATTCTTTGAATTGTAAATTAATTTCATTGAAATTCAAATAAAACTCTGGGAATTTCAAATAAAAATATACGAATTACAAATGGAATTCTTTAAATTTCAAATGGATTTTTTTTTTTGATTTCATATGAAAATTTTGAAATTACAGATGAAATGTTGTAAATTACCAATTATATTCTCGATTTACAACTGAAATGTTATGAATTGCAAATTGAGTTTTCGAATTATAAATGAAATTCTCGAATTGAAATTGAAACGTTTTGAAAAACCTTTGAAAACATTTAGATCGAAAATTGTGTGCCAAGTAAGGTAAGGACACAAGACGGACAGGTCGATTACATCACCTCTTTGGGTATATTCAAGAGGCGCTTTGTGAATCTTATTATATCGCACAATAAAATCGTTTATCGAAGACATATTTAAATTTGAAACAAAATGGACTAACGTAAAATCGGTTTAAAATGTACAAGAACTGCAACTAAATCTGAATCAATTTGCACGAAAGATAATAGCCAATGCAAAATTTCGTATCAGTAGGAAAGACGTAGGGTCATTGGTAGACCATTAAATCGGACGAAATTGTAGATAGGAAAAAATAACTAAATATGAACCGATTAATATAAAACTTGATATACTTGATCAACTGGGTACACTGCCCAAAATGTCGTGTATATCGGGCAAACATTTGTAGTTTGGTACACAATTTAGATAAAATCGGACGTAAATATATATAAGAGTTATATCTAAGTCTGAGGCGATCAACAAGCCTAAATACGCATCATTCTAGACGCAAATCTGTACACTGAGTAAAATTTCGTGTCAATCGAACAAACATTATGCCCGGAAAAATTAAATAACGATTCATGCGAGTAAGTCCATCTATAACGTGAAAAATTTGCTTGGAAATCTGCGGTGAAGTAATTTTCGCCTCTGTGTAGATCCATGTTCATCAGGAACGACATACAAATGAGATTAACCTACTGAACACCAGGAATGTTATCTTCTATGGACAGTGGTGCCAAATGATTTAAATATTGTGTATATTTTATACCAGGGTATATTTCTGATTATTATGGTATTTCGAGGTTTTTACATTAGTTTGTGGAACTCGTAACATCCTGCATTAATATTGAGACCTACTTGTGGTTCAAGTTCGAACAATATTCTTATTCTATTAAACTGACTTTACTACATTACTAACGCTAAAAATGCTGAAAACAAAATCATTGTAAAATTAAAATGTTTGCAAATTTTAGCTAACTAAAAAAAATTAAAGAAAAAATTTCAAAATTTCGATTTGGCACACAAAGCTTGTGACACAACAAAAAATACAAAGTGCGTACAACAAAAACAATAAACACATGCATACGTGCTGGTGCGAATGGTGTTGGTGGTAGTTGTGGTGCGGACTGTGTTGTTGTTGGTTGTGGTGATGATTATTAGTCCAATTTGGATCGGTGCTTGTGGCAAAAGTGTTAGAAGTGTTGTGCTGCTGCTGCGGATGATGCATAGCTGGTGGTTTTAGAAACATTGAATCGCTCGCATTTGCCGTTAGTGAGCGATCATAGCCCTCATAGACGCCGTCGTCATCATTGACGTTTTCATCGCTTTCATAGGCAAAGGAACAACTACGACAAAAAGGTGCACAGAATTGTGGACAACACTGAGTTGGCGGTGATGGTGGTGACAGTGGCAATGGTTTGCGACAACTTTTCGCTGATGTCGAATCATTGAGCGTAATTAAAGGTGTCGATGTTGGTGGCTGTCCGTCGTTCCGTTTGCCAAAACTTGGAAAACAAAAACATTTCGTATTCTTTTTGCGATCTGTCGTCGTCGTTGTAGTACTGGTTTTGTGTAACTGTGTAACCACCGAACCACTAATTGTCCGATCTGTCAATGGAGAGGTGGGTGAAAGTGTTGTTATAGCCACAGCTGTAGTGCTGGGCTTAGTCGAGTCATGTTTGGATTTCCTTCTGGTCGGAACTAAATTTGTGTTCGTAACAAGTAAGGCGTTTGTTGAAGCAGTGATGTTGGTGGGTGAGGTGATAGTGATTGTTGCATTGTCACTGTTGTTACTGAACAAGGTGGCAATGTTGTTGCTGTGGTGCAATTGTTCTTTTTGTTCAAGATTATTGGAGTGAATTGTGGGAGTAGTTGTTGTTGTAGTTGATGGTTGGGCCTTATAAAGAACCCCCTCATTTGAGGCTACATCACCCAATATCATTACTTTTTCACTGGTGGTGGACAGTGTCGAAGTTTGACGCCCAAAACGCTTCGTGGGACTCTCAATGCGCACTCTCGCCGCTCGTTTGCGATTTGCATGTGCTCTCGAGTCCATTGTCGTTGCTGTGCCATCTACTGAACAAAAATCCGGTGTACTGTTGGTTGAGGTGGGTGAAGCTGGGCTTGGTGCACCATTTAAGTGATGGAAATTTTCCAACGGTGTGCTTGCCGGTGTCAAAGGTGAAGTTCGCGTTGGCGACGTTGTACAATCACTGTCGATGCTTACTCTGTTATTTCGGACATAACTGGCGGACATATTGGAAGGACCACCAACTGTGCCGTTGAATAGTGTATTATTAAGAACTTCTTCTTCATCATAATCTTCATGCCATTTGGAAGACAAACTGGTGGTGGTAGTTGTGGCTGTGGCAGGGAGAGTATTGGTGGTGTTGGTCTTGGTTGGTGATGTATTGACAAAATGCACATCGACTCGGTGCAAACGTTTGGACGAAGACGACATATCTTCACCGTTTACAGTGTTTCCACTTTTTTTCATTGCACTCTTCCGGCTGTTACCTTTACTTGTATCGGTTTCATTCTACAATTATACATTTTTTTTGGGGTTTGAAAAAAGGCAATGCAACAGAAAAGGATATTTTTTTTATTTTGGTTGAATGACGGTTTGTTGGGAATATTTAGATTTGTGTGATTTGTGTGATGATAAACTAGATATTATTCGAAGATTTAGATAAATTATCAGAGAAACGATTCATTTTGAAAGATTTTATTGAAGTATGATATAATTCTTGATTTTTATTTTAATCGATGGTTTTAAGTTCGATTTTGAAGTATGGAATAGTCGATTTGAACCAGAAAAAATGGTCAGGTTAAAAATAGGCGTTTCAGATGCCCAATCATTTGACGTATAACCATTACAATTATTTTAATTATATTCTGCTAAGGATAGCTAAAATTTTATATCATTGTAATTTTTCTAGTACAAATCGTGAAATTTTAATGGTTTGTGGATCTTGGAGTGATATTGTCACTATTTAATGAATATTTTGGTGGATTTTCAAAGAACATTTATTCAAAGGGGTTTGAAGGAAATAATCGAGAATTAAAAAAATGTTTGAGGGATAATATATAATCAAGTATTTGAGGGATAATATATAAGTCTTGATTTAGATTAGGCGAGTTTACTTGCGGCAAGTCTTTGTTTGTAGGAGAGAGGGGAACGGGGTATAGAAATAAAAAAAAATTGCTCGTACCGACAATTTTCTGGCAATCCGTTTTGTGTTTTTCGTATTTGTTGACATTTTGTATATATTTAAATGTGAAAAAACAACAAATAAAAAAATATTTTGGAAACCGAATTGCCTTGTATAGACGCATGGAGCAAGTTCAAAAGAGAACGATAAAAATTGCCGCAAGTAAACTCGCCTAATATAAATCAAGACTAACCAAGTATTTTTAATTTTTTCGAAAGACATCATTTCGGATTTTTTTGTATATTTTTTAAACATTATATTGTGAATTTGTTCAAGAATATTAAATTGTCATCGTGACTATTACTATTTTCAAGGATCATGGAATTAAAAATCGCTTATTTTTTCCATAAGAATATGAAATATTTCAACACCTTTTTTTAATTTCTTAATTTTATTTCGCGATTTTATTTAGTTCGCTAAGAGAAATGGGTTCGACGTATTTGGGTAATACGGCCGTAAAAAACATTTTGCCATAGTGGGGAAGTTGAATATTTTTGTACGCTTCGTTGAATTTTAGATAACGTTGTTAAGTGAATATTTTTGAATGAAGTTCAATATTATTTTTTTTTTTAATATATAATCTTGTACTTTTAAAGGATATTTCTCAAGCATATAATATACAATGGTGAATTTTTGAAGAATGTTTTAAAAGATACAACAGAGGATGTTCGGAAAAATGTATTGAAGGACCTAATAATGCGTTTTAAATTTATAATTTTTAAAAAACATATTTGTGTATTTTTTGAAAGACATATCCCTGAATTTAAAATAATGGCCAAGGTAGATTAATGAGGTAACCGTATCCAGGCAGCTGTTGGTAACATTATATGTCAAATAGAATTTTGTTATTTAAATTTGCCGTAGGTAGAAAAAAAAATAAAATTTTAAATGAAAAACAATACAAAAGATGGTTGAGTAAATGGTATCAAATAGTTAAAAAACAATAAAGTCAAACGGGCAGACAATATGAACTGAACCATTGGACTTATTTTCTGCGGAGCTGAATCCATATTCTATTCAAACTTGTCCGATAATTGCCTCATATTGGAGTTCAGTTTATAATTGTGACTTTCAAAGCCTTTAGAATATTGTTAGTCCCTTACATGATATCATTCCAAAAATATTGTTGTTGTCTTTGAACAGAACCGAAAGAGCTTTACAAATGTTGGTTCATAATTGGTACATAACTTATTATGTACACACTGTCGGACACATATAGCGTTAGTCTAGGACCAATATTTCGTGGCACTACATCTTTAATTTCAGTTTTACAACAACAAATAAATAGGCCAAAGCGGAAGATGTTCGATTTCTTATTAAAATGCCAATACAGAGACTCCCTTGACCTTTTCCAAAATGTGCACCAATATGTTCCATTCTACTAGAAGTTACGTCTTTGGAAACGTTTATGGCTAAAATTCGTTTCAAATTTGATATGTTACGGCGAATTAATTATTATTCGCCTTGTTAACAATTATGACATATCATGTTCCCAATTCGCCGATGCGGCTACCTTATATATCTACCTTGATAATGGCTTTCTAGGATTTTTAAAGATTTTTTTTTGAAGATATATTGAGGATTTATTCATGGATTTTTTAAAAACATTTTTAAAGGAATGTGTGGGATATTATAATAGATTTCACAAAGTATTCTGAAGTTGTATACAGGATTTTAATCAACGATTTTTATATAAATAAAACATTTAAATCATATTTTTTATTATTTTTCGAAGGACAATCGATAACTCCAGTAGTCCTGCATTTTTTAAGAATAATTTGTATTTGAACTTTTATCGAGTCTAAAATCGCAAATACAAATATATATCCTCACGATTATATATGTTTATAATTAGAACACTATTACCATACATAAATAAATATGACAATTTAATTTAACTCAAAAGGGTATTAGTCACCTGTAGAATACATGTAAACGTACATGTGTAAGTATGTAAATATATTGAACATGCATTTTTAAGTTATAGTATAAACGTGTCTTATCTATTCAGGGCCCATTGTGTAAAAAATCTGACTCACCACGTTAATGAAAAATAATCATTAAGAATGTGACAATTTTTTATGTCATTGATGACAAATGCAACAAATACAGGGTTGGGGAAAAGAAAAACGTTATTAAACAAATTTTGAAAAGTCTAATATACATACTGTTTTTACTTTTTCCACCAAAAGTTTTCAATAGCATTTAAAAGCACTCGAAAGCCCTTCGAGATACAATTCCCTTATTTTTAAATATCTCTTTAATTTTTTTGTAATTAAATTTTGTTACACCCTGTAAAAAAAGTGCATGCCCAAGTGTCAATAGAATATCAAGAATTATATCATACTTTTTTAACCTCATTTAATTAACAACTTTCCTCTAGATTTTGTCTCACTTTAACTGGGTTAAAGCAAATGACGATTAAAAGAGGGATGTTCGAGGGGGGGAAATCTCTTCTTAATAAGAAAATAAAAGAAAAATAAGTGTAAAAATTGACATGAAAGTGCTTTTGTGTGTTCACACATACCAGAAAATCATTTACATACTCACTCCTCCTCATCCACACACGGGAGAGAAGAAAAACAAAACAATTTTGCTAGGAATTCATTTTACATTTGGGAAGACTATCTAAAAGGAAATTGTTAAGTATTTAACAAAACGTATACACAGACTGACACACTAAAAGTTAGAAGAAAAAAAAATAATAAGAAACATGACATTTATACATCCTTAAACTAGTTGATTAAATTACAAAAACAAAAAAAGAACGTGGAAAAAAATTGAAAACAAAAAATGGTCAGCCTGTTAACCGTAAAGGCACTGCAAACCAGGTTAAGGATATCACTTTTGTATTACAAACATAATAAAAGGATTATTAATTAATAATGAGACATACACACACACTCTGCTTGCTTCTTTCAGTGTGGTAAGTTGTAAAACGCTTATATCTATTCATTTTCATTATGGATTCCCTAAAAGTGGCCAAAGAGTAGAGCAAGAACTTCTAAACTAAATAGTTGTTGGTTAACTATGTATATAAGTAACTAAAGGCAAAATGCTTAACTTTTAATTTTAGAATTTTTATATATAAAAATTTAGATTTTTAGTGCAAGGCTAATGGAATATTGGTTTAAATTTTATTTTTTAATATCACAAAAAAATAGAGTAGACAAAAATTTATTAAATTTTGGTTGATTAATTTAATTAATTTCTATATAAAAATTTTATATAAGTATAGTTTATATATATTGAATATAACCATATCCAAAAAATATTAAATATAGATGTATTCTTTCACTTACATCTGTCACCTCAATCACTTCACCGGTACGCAAATCAATGACATCACCATAGGTCCGGCCATTAATACTGCACTTGTTAAAGGTCATTATGTTTTGGGTTAGGGTGCCTGTCTTATCAGAGAATATATATTGAATTTGGCCCAATTCTTCATTTAGGGTGGTGGTACGGGCTTTGGCATGGGTTTTAGTTGGTTCATAATACATTTGTTCATCCCAATTGATTAGAAATGATTGAACAAAACGTATAACCTATAAGGGAAGAAACACGATTAGGTCACATGTGGCATGTGCTAAGGACTCATTACTTACCTCTACTGAAACGTAGAGTGATATTGGCACTACGGTATTTAATACAATGGCATAAGAGAAAAATACTAACAATCCTATAACGGTTGATCCTTGAACAATATTTTTTGGTATAATATTTTCCCATGGCAAATAGGCCTGTAAAATTAATCAGAAGGATTGGATAATTATTGTTGTGTTTAAAAAAAATATTTTTTTATAATTACCTGGAAATGTTGACCAATGACTCCCTCCCATATAGCACAAGCCAGTGTAAAGAATGCACAGATGGATAATAGAAACAATACAATCTGGAAAATAAATTAAAATATACTTATTTGTTAAAAAGGGTTATTAAAGGATATTTCTTTAAGGACATGATTTTAAACCAATATTTTTCAAAAAGCTATCTGAACAGAAATCGAAAATTTTAAACAACTTTTAAATGAACGTCTATAGTATAAATGCAGATATTATTTAAAGGAATTTCAGAGCTATAAGCGCTGACTTTAAACGGCATTTCAAAACAATATCCTTAGATATTTTAGTAATATTTTTAAGGGATTTTTTATATACATGCTTGGATTTTTTGCATTTTTAAAGGACATTTTTCGAAGGATTATCTGACCTTTTGCGGTGGATTTTCAAAGTATATTTTTCGAAGGACTATCTGAGGTTTTACAGTGGATTTTAAAAACGTTGATTTTTAAATAATATTTTTCCGAGGACTATCGGAGCTATAATCGTGGATTATAAAAAAGGTTTTTCGAAGGAATATATGAACTTTAAGAGTTTTTTTTTTATTTTTTCAAATGACTATCTGCACTATAAACGAGACTTTTTAAAACTAAAAATTAGCCAAGGACATCCTGACATTTTTTCGTAGATTATAAAACTATCCTTCTTGGGAGTATTTGTGTTTTAACCATTGATGTTAATTAAATTTTAAGGACTTTTTGAAATATGCGTGTATCAAAAAAATCTTTTAAAGACAATCTAAGCTAATCGCGGATTTTTAAATTGATTCTCTAATGACTATTTGATCTAAGCACGGATTTTTTAAATGATATTCTAGCTTTCTGAGTTAAAATCCTATTTTTATTATTCTTTTGAGAGAATACTTATACATTGACCCCTACTTACACCAATAATAATAAAATTCAACAAACGATCAACACCGGTACTCTTGAATTGTGTCTTGCCCGAATTCTGCATCAATTTCGTATCTTTGCCGGCAAAGACAACAACACCATAACACCATTGCGTGTTGCGCAGCACACAACCCCTCAGCAGGATTTTCTCATTGTCCAGGGCATAACGTTGATTACGCCACATCAATGTCCCCTCGAATTTATTCAGCAAATTGTTGGGCTTTTCACAAATTATTTCGGCATTGAAATTCCACAGCTGGTCATGGTTATCGCCAAGTTCAATGGTTTCCGTTAGACACTGTTTACATTTGAGATTCGTTTCGCCGTCCAATTCGGCCGTTTCAATGAAACACAAACCATTTGGTTCCGATGTGCTAAGGAGGAGAATATCGGCGGCCACAAATTGATTGTTTTCCAGGCGTATCACATCGCCAACCTATAACAGACAAAATAGAAAAATTCAAAAATAAAATAAATAATATTTTAGGGGAATGATTGCTCTTTTTATTGATTTTGTTCTTGTAATACATACAAAGTGATGAATAGAAAGTTTAGATGATAAGGCATTTGCTTACCTGTACACCGGACCACTTTTCATCGACCAGTTTTCCATTTCTTAAAGCTTTCGATTTGCGATTATTCACCTGAGAATCTGAGACATGACGTTGCTGTAATGGAATTTAGAGGGAATAAAAATAAAATTAATAGGAATAATCTTTATTAACCCCTAAATAGTAATGCAAGTTATCTAAAGCCTTTTTCATTTTTGGAACAAATTATATGCATTCGATTTAAGCGTGTCATGGTGTCATACATGGGTTAATTATTTGGAAAATCGATGTGTTTACAACTTTTGCATATTTCTGTTCCTGTACCATTTAATTAAACAATGCAAATTGAAACCACTGAATCGAATTGAAAAACAAATTTGTTTATTTCCAGACCATAAATTATTTAATTCGGTGTGAAACAATTTGAGGTGCAGAAGCAATTTCAATATCATTGTCGAGAGTATTAGTTTTGCATATAAATAACAAATGGGAATGGATGGAAATAGTACAGTGACACCGTGAATAATTTCAGGATCTATTTTTCTAAAATAATGTTTTCTGAAGAAAAGAAATCTTTTGGTATGAATTTCTAAAACTACCTATATACTCCAATCCTACTTCGCAACAGTAATCCTAACTACAAATTTCAGAATTCCAACTCTATCGGTTCACAAAAAATTCAAATTGTTCCAAATTTACTATCTTCCTACATAGCCCTATCCTACACTCCAGCAGTAATCCTAATTCGAAATTTCAGAATCCCAGCTCTATAACTTGATCCAAGATTTAAATTGTACCAAATTTAGTACACATAAGTACAATTTTCCAAAACTACATACATAACCCAGTCCTACAATCCAACGTATTTCGTATTTCCTATCTTCAAGATTCCAGTCTATCGATTCACCTAAATCAAAATTGTATCAAATTAAGTACCATTTAGTATCCATATGTAAAAATTTCCAAAACAACCTACATATTCCAATCCTACCCTCCAAAAGTGATCTTAACTTCAAATTTCAGGAGTCCAGCTGCATCCGTTCCTCCCAATTGTACCAAATGTCGTACTTTCCATATATACTTCCAAAACCAACTCCCTAAATCGACTGTACATCTCAATCTTAATTCACATTCCAAATTTTAAGTTTTGTAGACCTATTCGTTTACTTGTTACGAAATTGCACCAAATTTAGTACTTTTCCGATACCTATAGTTTGAATTTCCAAAAAACCCATTGGTACATCAATCGTACTCTTCATTACTCAAAATTTAGGAGTTTTCTAGTACTGTTCTAGTACGAATTTCCAAAAACCTAGCCTTATCTGACACCTTGGGAATTGTAGACTCAGCCGTTTCGTCTGGGCGCTGATTAATCTCCAAGTCAGTCAGTATGTTAGTCAATATCTATGTACATCTGTGTAAGGAAATAAAGATTATTGAATGGGATTGTAAAATCATTTATAATTGTTACTGATATGTTTACCGATATAAATAACCGATTTGGACCCTAAGAAGTTTAAAGTACAATAGTCATGGTTACATGGTCTTTTCTTACCTTTTCAACCCTAACCCTACATTTTTTAATTGTTTACAAAATCAACATAACATAATTATGTTTATACCCCAGTTAAAATTATTTACATTTTGCATCTCTATAGAATTTAACCAACTTATTAAAAGCTTTTAAACTTTGTTATTATTCTTTTTTTATTATTTTTGACATGTGTTTTGACGCGGAGCGGTAATGAATTTATAATAGTTTGTTTTAAGTCTCCTTTTAATTACATCAATTTGTCTGAACAATAACCGAACGATGGCAGGGGGATGGGTGACAAAACATCACCATCATCAACTTACTGAAAACTTTTTAACCTTGAACGACTACAATACGTACACATACACACGCACGTACGCACACACTCTGTTGCATTTACATACATAAAGATTCATTCAAAGGCAAATAGAAGCAGAGAGCAGTGTGGTGGGGTGGGATGGCGCTTCATTCACTCACTACACCATCATCATAAACACTTGGCTTTTAAAGTGGCATAAAAATGTACCACAAATGTCAATGTCAACAACCCATACGAGTGAAAATAAAACAAAAAAACTGAAAAATACAAACAGAAGACATACAGAGTACATGTCGGAATCTATTGTCGAATGGGTATCTGTGTTGCCATTTTAGTTATCAGGTCCATCCTTAACAAAATTGGCTTGACAAGTATCTATGACCCTAGGGGATTTTATTAACGAAGAGCGCAGCCAAGGCCTTAAGATTAGAAAAGCTCACTGATAAATAATTCAAATTATAATAGAATTTACATATCATTATTTATAATAAATCTATTTTTGTGTGGGTCAAAGAAACTGAAATTCTATTTTTACAAAATGTGTACTTTGTGGTCTAGTATTCAAAACTATAATTCAAATTGATATTTGTACTTGGCAACTCTGTCATTTAAAATGGTATGTGAATTATTTGTTAGATGACTGCGGCAAATGAGTAATTCATAAAAAAAAATTGCAGATGCCGGGTCAGTTTTATTTCATTTCTTATTCTCCGGCTCCATCTAATTCACTGCGTTACGCATATAAACAACAGTCATTATTGTTGGAATTTTAATACTGCATTTAAAATGGTTTACAAATGTGATAAAATGTTTGTATTATCCTTAGTTTTTATTCGAATAGTGTCTTGACTTCTTGTCCCTCAGAACAATGGTCCATTGAAGATAGATTCTAATGCGTAACGTGTCCTGACTTTTTTCCACAGACAGATTCATCTGCTTATTTCAATATATATGCATTCACATAAATGAGGTCATCGCAATACTTACAATATCGTCGTAGGCATCTTTAACGGCGGTCAAGGTTAACACACCGATTAATGGAATGGCTGTAGTAACGGGCGTTAGTGATGATATGGCCGGGATTAGTTGCAGCACCAGCAGACATAGAAAATAAAAATTCGCTAAACGTTGAAATTGCTCCAAAAGGTTAAAGGGCAAAAATGTCATCATCGAATACTTGGACGTTTTAATGTAGTTGTCCTGTAAATAAAAGAGATAAGAGAAAGAGAGAGTGACAAATTGATAAAAAAAACAATGGCTTAGTTTTAATTGAATATTTAAAATGCAGACCAAGAAAAAAAAAACGGAATGAACGAAAAACAAACAAAGACAATGTTATGGATAACCATGCTAATGACAGTGTAAACAATGTATTAGAATGGGTAGTTGGTTAATATTTTGAAAATGTAAAAATATAAATATGCAACCAATATGATCTATTTCTCAATTTCAGGATTCCAGCAGTATCTGTTCATCCAAAATTCGAAATGGACCGAATTTAGTACACATTAGTTCAAACTCTCAAAACATCCTGCATACATCAACAGCATTCCAAACTCTAAACAAATTTCGGTTCACCAATAATTCAAATTGTACAACATTAATAGTACACATAAGTACGAATTTTCAAAACTACCTATATCATACAACCAACCTTATTTCCCAATTTCAGGATTGCAACCCTACCGGATGTAACAATCTTAGTACATCTTAGTACTTTTTGGATACTTATAGTTCAATATTCCAAAAAATCCTTTGGCACATTTTAGAGCTATAGCCAAACCGGTTCGCCAAGTACAAATGGTACCATAGTTAGTACTTTTAGCACTTTTCCAAAAATTCCGCCTTATCTGACACTTTTGGACCCCAAATTTTAAGATTCTAGATTCAGTCGTTTCGTCTGGGCGTTGAATGAATAGTTAAGTCGGTCAATCACTTTACTTTTATATTTCTTTTTTTTTCGGACATGTCTAAAATTTCTATCCTTACACTGTGATTAGATCCTCACAGTAGATGTTTAAGAAATCTATAAACTATAATACCAAACTCTAGCCACTATTCTAAGAAAATGCGTCTAAAATATGGGAATGCCTAAAATCTGTAGGTACCGTTATATGAGGGCTATATACCAGTGTTGCCGACAAATATTCCACACCAATATAAAGGTGGGTAATATTTTAACCAAATCGAATATTCAATTTTATTCGCATGAGATTTGCAATGATTTTAACAAATTAAACCCTGTGATTGATTATTTGTGTTAAAGGTACCAGGAGGTGATCCGAAGACTGAAATCAAATTCGTTTAAAGTAGAACAACAAAATTATCGATATAATTCGGAAACGTTTTGTGGGTTCGATTTCGGATTAAGTATCTAGCTGTAAAGTTATTCTATGTTATTCTATCTATGTGAAAGTATGGGTCCATATTTCTGTTAGCAATTGCAGGTACTTACTTCGACAAACAGAAATGTCTAACCATAGTGGCATCTGTTGGAAAATATGTCTTTATAAGGGGATATGCCAAAAATTGCCTATATTGAACTATTTGTGCGATGAAGTTTCGAATATTTCGATATTCTTATTATAGAAGAGCTGGAGTTCTTCATCTTATACTTCAATAATGACTAACTCAATGTTTAACGAGACCTATGGTGATTTCATAAGAGAATTTAATCTGTCCTGGCTAAATCGAGATATAATTTTTCTATGAAGCCAATTTGGCTGACTATTTTCTGTAAGCATCCTTACCATTTGAAGAAAATTCCATTAGGACCTTCGAAATACTTACAATGGAGGTGACCTTTGTATAGAAATACTGTCAAAGCAATAAACTATTGGAACTTTTCTTTATCCTTAAAGTGATATGGGATATTTATATGGAGACTTTGGGAACATATGGGCCAATGTTGAAAATCTCCTGTGAGAAGATTGCCGATATACATCCATTTTAAGAGAACAGTCATCATTGCAGATAGGATAACTATTATTTGAACCTATTTTATGCCGTCCAAGACTTAATAATTTTAAATATATAATGCTAAACTACAAAAAATAACAATTCCACTCATTTATTTGGGTCAATGTTATCTGTGAAAAATGGGTCATTGTGCAAACAAAGAATAAAAAAAAATAATCCTCCAAAACTTTTGTTTTTCATGCACATTACTTTATTGTTGTTTTTGTGTAAACACAACAATTTAAGCCACACCATGCAAATTGTTTTCTTTCCCCCACCCAGATCAAATTACGAACGGCTGACTGCCAAACAGCCAATTCTAACAACACGAACCCACATTTCGAGAACAGTTTTTTGCTGCTGTTGTTGTTGCCATTGTTGTATTTGCGGTCGATGCATTTATGGATATCCGAGTAAATTGAAACTCTAATTCACTTGGGTGCATGATTCCTACGCCGCCATTGTTCTGTCGAACGAGTGAATTTCACACGATTTCAATAACTTAATTTGCTGTGTCATAGATTCGGATTCGTTTGGTTGACTGGCTGGTTGGGTAGCTGGCTGGCTGGATGGCTGGATGACTGAGTGGCTGCAACTGCCTATTTAGGCTGATTGTATTAGCTTGACGTTGTGCCTGCCTGCCTGTCTAACCCAGTAACCTAATTAAAGACGATGATAGCCAGAGTCTGCTACGGCATTAAGGCGCAGCAGAATGTTTAGTAATCTATGATTTTTTACTATGAAATAATGTAATTTTGGGACAAACTGTAATTGGTGAAATAACTAATGGTATAAGATATGCAGGAGATGGTATTAGGATGTAATTCAGGATATATTGCAGTACGGTGTTGAATGGAATACATAGTTATTATATTCGATATTTGTGTAGGATACTTACGGCATATTTGAACTGTGCATTGAACTCCCGATCGTTAGCACGTATTCTTCGTTCATTGTCTGTAAATAAAAAGAAGAAAATTTGTTATGAATTTTACTAAACAACACTTTAAAGAAGCATAAACAATATTAAGACAATTGGTTCAACCATTATAAGAAGTCCTCCAGTTTTCATAATAATCGATTTTCAATCTCTCATTTTTTTTCTTCTAATTCTTTTCATAAGTGTCCTTTTTTATGATTTTTGGAAATGATCGAATATATTTCCAGAAACATAAAAAATAATTACAAAATTACCAATCCCATTCATACCTGAAAAATAATAGGAACTTCTGCGTCGACGCATTTGTGATAGCCGCCGTTTACCAATCTCTTTGGCATTGGCCAAACGTCCCGCCTTCTCATCGCCATTATCGGCATTGGGAAATTGTTCAAAGTCACAACTCAACGTTACCGATTTACGACCGGCCAAACTTCCGCTAGGTCCGGTCGCACTGTAACCACTCGGTGTTGTGTGTTTCGAACGCAGCGATGATCGTTTCCGCGGTGGTCGACAATTGGAATTCTTCCAGATGCCAAATTTACTAAGGAACGACATTAGATTGGCCCTCAGGCCCGACTTATTCTCCGGACTTATTGTATCGACAATTTCATCGACATTATCGAATGAAGGTGGCTGTAAACTGCTGGTGAGCAGTGTTTTATCTTTGACTTTCGTGCTATGTTCCGAGTACATTAGAGCCGCTTCAGCCTCCAATTCGGCCTCCTTATCTTTGAATTTGTTGCATGAATTGCTGCGTGAATGTAATTGAACTTCGCCCGTTTGGGCGAGGGTAGCCAAACTGTACAGACTGCCGGAGCGAGATTTATGTGATCTTCTTTTGAATGACCCCTGATGTTGCTGTTGCCTGGGCTGGACAGCAGCCACATCGGGTAGATTGTCGTCGACATTGTGTGGCGACAAGGTGAGTATTGTGGCCGTTGAATTGTCAATGGTGGACGGCTCTGGTTTGGCTAAAGTTGCAGTGGCTGCTTCCAAATTGGCAGTGCTGGTGGTTGTTGTGGTCGTCGTTGTGTTTGCACGGGAAAACATGCCACCGAAGTGGTACCAACGTCTTGACCGACTATCGACACTGGTTAGGGGGGTTGTTTTGGGAAATGTGGCTGGTGGTTGTGAGGTTGTTGTTGATGGTGGTGCAGCTGTTGTCGTCGTCGTTTGCTGTTCATTGTCCACCGGGGCATAACGTTTTGGTTTGGTCGAACTTGCAGGTCTCTGTGGCACTGGTGATTGCGATTGTGTTCGGCTAAATTGGCGTGCAGGTGTTGTTGCTCGGAGTACCTCTAATTCCAAAGTATCCGGTCGCCTTTTATTTCCGTTGGGCATCTCATCAATACTTCCATGTAAGTTTTACAACTCACACTGCAAAAACAAAGCGGGTGTTTTTGTTGTTCTTCTGGCAACAAATGGGGTGTGTGGGAAAAACTATGCGGGGAAGATTTCCGTTGATGGCAGCGTCTTTCTTGTCTTATTTTTTTTTATTTTGTAAAGTCTTTAGTCTACTAAATGGTGTTTATTCGAATGCAAACGGAAATTTTATATTTTCATATGCCAAAAACAAATTGGCTATGTTTTCATTTCTGCGAAGAATAAAAATTTTAAATAATTATTACACCACCGTGAAATACCCGCACAGGAGAAAAACAAACGCACAACCGTTCACAAACCAAACCATTTTTCAACTACCAAACACCAAGGCCTTAATTCCAGAAGTTTTAAACAAAATACATTTCTCATATTTTTTTAATGTTTTTGTTTTCAAAATGTTTGATACTTTTTTGATTGATGAGTGGAAAAACGATTTTGCATTTTAACATGGTCAAATTGTTGTTATTTTTTTGTTTAATTATTATATGTGTTATTATTGTTGATATTGTTGTTAACTGCAGCATAAAATAATGACGAACGTATCCATTTGTTTATCGGCAAGTATTGTTTTTTGATAATTCGATTTTGTTTTTTTTTTCTATTGTTTTCATTGAATATTCTGAATATCGTGATTTGTGCCAATGGCATTCAAATGTGTTTTATTTCACGTGTGTTTATTTTATTTGGGCAGACAAAATAGATCCAAAGATTCTCCCAAAACAAATTAAAACAAACAACAAACTGTTGAACCAGAGCTGGGAAATCTAATCGAATAATAATACAAGCTGTCGAAATAATAAATTTCATTATCAATGTACAATTTTCTAAAACATATATGTTATGTTCCGGTAAGTACGTACATATGTATGAACCAGATCTCAGTAAATAGAAGATTCAATTTTTTGCTACAATTTGGAGAAGAAAATTTTGAAATTTGATATGGATTTGAGTAAAGCATACGTAATATCCAAATTAATTAATTGAAAAATCCATTTTTTTTAAAAAACCTAATGGTTTTGGGTGGGTTTACGATGTTTCTGACGTATGTATTATACGTTGGAAATGTATATCATTTACGTCACTGTTTCTGACGGACCATCTCTGGTAATATTTGGCCAATATTAATTTCAGATCAGATTCGACACTCAAAATGGTAAATAATTAGGTGAAATATATATGTATATATCATACAGGTATCTCCATCATGTAGGGTAAAATTTTTGAAAATGAGAAATATCCAGGAATTAGATTTTGCACCATGATAATTTTCCTGTTCAAGCATAGATGTTTATGGGCGAATTTCAGAGATCTAGGTTGAGAAAATTTTGTAAAGAGAAGTCCAGTTTCCAACAGAGATGGTCCGTCAGAAATAGTCATAAACAAACCCAAAACCATTAGGTTTTTGACAGAATAGCTGTTTCCATTAATACATTTGGAAATTACGTATGCTTTATTCAAATCCATATCAAATTTCAAAATTTTCTTCTCCAAAAAGTTTAGAATTTTTCATCAGTTCTAGTAAGGAATAGTTAAATATATATACAAATTATATATATTCTTCAAAATAACAGTATATGGTAATAATATTGAAATAAATGACGTTTACTACATTTATTACATTTTATACAGGTATGTGACGTTTTCGACGTTTACAACCTTTTGATAGTCGAAAACCTCAAAAATCGTTACCCGGACCATCTCTGGTTTTCAATAACCTGCTAGCTATGGCGGGGTCCATAGTTTTATTAATCAAAATTAGCGATTTTTTATCTCGTTCAAATTCAATTAGAATGGCCAAATGTGCAACTTATGTGAACCATGAAAATTATTTAAAAAATTAAACAATTTTCAAATATTCCAAATACTTAAAAAAAATCCATATCTATTTGATGGCCAGTTGAAAAAGTATTTGAAAATTCCAAAATATTTGAAAAAGCCACGCCTAATTGAGACCCAATAAAAATATTTGAAACTTTTATTTGAAGCCCTTGAAAACATATTTAAAAAAAGCAACGCCTATTTGGTGTCCGCCTATATTTAAAAAATCCACCCCATTTTGGTGACCTTGAAAAAATATTAAAAAAAAATAAAAAAAAATTAAAAAAGAAAAATAAAAAAATCCACGTCTATTTGATGGCCCTTGAAAAATTATTTAAAAAATCCACGCCTATTTGGTAATCCTTGAAAAAATATTAAAAAATTCACGTCTATTCCCTTGACAAATACATACAAAAAATCCAAGCATTTTTGGTAAATCTTGGAAAAATATTTTAAAAAATCTACTCCTATTTGGTAACGCCTTTTTGGTGATCCTTGACAAATACATACACGCATATTTGGTGTCCTTTAAAAAAATATTTACAAAAAATCAACGCCAAATTTAGTGACCCTTGACAAAATATTTTGAAAAATCCACGACTATAAATTTATTTAATTTAAATAAATAAAGTTAACATTTGCAAAACCATCCACATTATAAACCCTATTAAAACCACCAGACATAAAAAGGGGCGCATTCCTATATCGTTCAAATTCAATTAGAATCAATAAATCAAAACGTTAGCTATTATCGTAACGACATAACCCACAAGTCTATCTACGCATACCACAGCTATGGTCAGTCGTTGCTCTTTAAAAAAATAAAAACAAAAATAACCTATATTATCTATCAACATCAACAACAATAAAGAACTCACACAAACACATGCATACATTTTAGGGCTGGTCACTTTTAGTTTTTCTTATCTTTAATTTCCAATAAATTACCATCGTCCATTGATAAAGGCAGGAGAAAATTTATCGGCAGTTTTGTTTGTGGGCTATTTGAGAAATCGCAACATTTTGTGTTTTGCTTTTTTTTTCTTTTGCTTGGGACATTAGCGTGTTAATTGCTTCTAAATTTTTGCTAACGATTTGCCATTTATTTATCGTTTGACGTTAACTAAATAGCTGACGGTGATTATGGCTGTTCTTTATAGGATATACGTATGGTTTTTTTTTTTGTTGTGTTTAGCCAAAGTTAAAAAGGTGAAGAACCTTTTGAACTTTTCAATGATAAAAACAACAAAAACGTCAGACAAAAAGTTATCGAAACAAAAAACGAAAAAAAAAACCTTCCTGAATTTTTAATGAAAATTGATACATTGGACGAATGCCAGTGGTGTTGGATGGCTGTTTGGTTGCTGAAAAAAGCCAACAAACCCACATACCAACTCATCTAGGCTCAAAAAAATTGACATTTTAAAACAACAAAAAAAAGTTGACGACACAACATATGACGAAACGGACATGGACATGTCTGAGTGGTGTGCCTAAACAAGTTAGACATTTGGGCGATATCACCGCTTGTCCAGGACAACGTATGAGCAACGTGCGTCTGCATTGCAGCAATCATACGCCCCACAAACAAGAATACAAAAATATTAGCAAATCTAACGTATGTATGTGTGTGTGTGTGTTTCGTCTATTGATTGTGGAAATGCATCGATCGACGTCGGCTACGACTGAATGAAAGAATGCATGACTTTTGCTGCATTCTATGGAATTTTAAATACTCGTATGTGCGAAATAAAATTAAAAATCATTTTTAAACCAATAATCAAAATATTTATATTATTATGAAGGAATTTTTGCCTAATTGCATTGCGAAAAAATTCTGAAATTTTGAAAATAAATTACAAAATTTTTTTTAATGCTAGTAAATTTAAAATTCCGAAATTTTGTATGAGGGTTACAACCTCATAGAAGTGGAGATGCATCGTATTATTTTATGTGCATAAATTTTGATTTCGGTCTAAAAAGGATACTGACTAATCAGATATATATTTATAGTAGTGTCAGTGTTGCCAATTTAGCACTTTTAGTGCTAGATTTAGCACTTTTTGAACTCGTTTAGCACCAAGAAAATTGATCTAGCACCTAGCTCCTCTTTTAGAATTTTTTTATTTCTTAGGAATTTATTACAATTTTGGTTTCAAACCAAAAAAATCCCGTTTTTCGAGTTCATATTGACGCATTGAATTTTCCCTATGTTTCACGCGGTGCAATGCTATCCAGCATGTGCCGTGCATTCCAAATTTCTTAAAAAAGGGTCGGGTACTTCATGTGGTGACTATGATATTGTCTTTTTTATCATTTTTTATTTCTTAGGAATTTTTTACAATTTTGGTTTCAATCCCAAAAAATCCCGTTTTTCGAGTTCATATTGACGCATGGAATTTTCCCTATGTTTCAAATTCCATTCCAAA